CCGCCCCCTTTTTTTGGATGTCTTTGGGATATAGACTTAGTATTGCTAGGTCAAAGAGTGTGCATGGTTTGATAGCCCTTTGGGCATAGTTACACATTGCTCTTCAGAATGGTTGGATCAGTTCACAATTCCACCAACCAGTAGACATCTTAAGCTCAACGTGCTCCAAACCGAACTCATTATCTTTCCTCCCAAAATCTTCCCCCTCCTTCCTTCCTCCTTATTACTGTAGAGGGCAAACCATCTTCCCAATCCCTCAGGTTCACGCTTAGGGGTCTTCCTGGACTTTTACCCCCTACATTCAATCTGTTGCCAAGGTCTGTCGATTTCACATTTGCAACATCTCTTGAATATGCCCTCTTCCCTCCTCGAATACTGCCACCACCCTGGTGCAGGTCTTTATCACCTCTCACCTGGACTATTGTAATAGTCGGCTGGTGAGTCCTCCATTCAGCCACTAAAGTGATTTTCGTAAAAGGAAAGTCTGATCATGTTACCTTCTTACTCAGTAAACTTTAGTGGCTCCCTATTGCCTCCAGGTGCAGATACAAAATGCTTAGCTGGGCATTCAAAGCCCTTCATAATCTAGCTGCCTCCATTCCAGTCTTCTTACACTTTACTCTCTAATATGTACTTTTCTATCCAGTGACACTGGCTCCTGCCTGTCTCACCAATAAGACACTCCATCTCTCAGCTCTGAGAATTTTCTCTGGCTATCCGCCATGCTTGGAATTGCTCTCCCTCATCATCTTTGCTTGTTGCCTCCCCTGGCTTCCTTTAAGTCCCAACTAAAACCCCACCTTCTACAGGAAGCCTTCCCCAACCCCTCTTGTTCCAGTGCCTTCTTTTTGTTAATTATATTCTGTTTATCCTGTATATAAACTTGCTTTGTATATATTTGTTTGCATGTTGTTTCACTAATTAGATTGCCAGCTGCTTGAGGACAGGGATTATCTTTTACCTTTTTTTTTTTTAATATCCCCAGGCTTAGCACATTGCCTGCCTTATGCCACTTAATAAATGTTTATTGATTGGTTGGTTTGTCAGTGAGACCTTGGTTTAAATCTTCCCTTTTATATTTATTAGTTGTGTGAACATGGACAAGTCACTTCATCTCTCTGGGCCTCAATTTCTTTACTTGTAGAATGGGGATAATGATACCCATTAGATGGAGAGAATCCTTGAAAGAAGGAGAATATCTTTCACCTTTCTTGTATCTCTAGGACTTTGAGTAGTGCATGGCACATATTTAATAGGAACTTAAATATGCTTATTAACTGATTTATATAGTGCATATTCCACAGGTTGTTAGGGAGAGAGTCTCAAGGGAGACAGTATATGTAAAATGCCTTTCAGACTTTAAAATACTATATACATCTTAGTTATAAATACTATTAATATTTTTAGACTATAAATTTCTTTAATACAACGACTGTGTATCTAATTTTTGTGTCTTGCCTGTCACTTAGCCATAGAGGTCTGTTCATAGTTGGCACTTAATGTGAGATAAGAAATATAGTAAACCAAAAATCAACTCTACTGGGGAGAGGACTCCCTCAGTCCTCTTGCTGGAAAAACTGGAAGGTAGTTTGGTGGAAGTTGGGTTTTAAACCAATATCTTATCCCATATTCCGCAATAGCCTCCAAATGATCATATTTTAAAAAATTAGAGAATGGAAAATTGAATCTTTAATATTTATGTGTGGGGGTGAACTAATGTTAGATATTTTTGTTTATTAAATAAAAAAGTTTCTGCATGAACAGAATCAATGCAGTTAGAGTAATTAGAAAAAAATTATAGATTGGGGAAAAATTCTTCCATCAAATAGCATTGATAAAGATCTAACATCCAGAATTTATAGGGAATTGAACACAAAAATATATTCTAAGCTGCCATTCACCATCCAGTAAGTGGTCCAAGTATATTAGTAAACCCACTTTTCAAAATAAGAAACACAAACTATTAACAACCAAATGAAAAAAAAAAGCTCCAAAGCATTAATGATAAGAGAAATAAAAATTAAAATAATTCTGAGGTGGTATCATGTCTGCCAAATTGCGAAAGGTGGCAAAAGGTGGAGTTAACGTGGGAAGTACATTTTTGGTGAAGCTGTGAATTAGCCCAATGGTTCTATAAAATAGTTTAAACTCCTATAAGGAAAGTTTTTAAACTGTTCATCCTTTTTGACTCAGTGATCCCAGTAGTAGAGAGATACTCCAAGGAGATGTGAATGAAATGTTTGATAATTGACAACAAATTTAAAATGATACTTTTTATACTAGCAAAAACTATAAACAAAACTAGTATTCATTGGGGAATAGCTGAACAAATTGTGATATATGACTATTATAGCATATCATTATGTTGTAAGGAATGACAAATTTGAAGAATTTAGAGAAATGTGGGAAGACTTGTATGAACTGATAGATAGTGAAAGCAGAATCAGGAAAACTAAATACACAATGAATACAGTAATATAAATGAAAATAACACTAAAAAAAAAAAACCAAACAAAAACAGAATTTTGTTCAAATGCAATGACCTGCATTGGTTCCAAAGGACTGATTTTGGAATATGATTCTGTTTCCGGAGAAGTAATGTTTTATAGATGCAGAATGTTACACACTCTGTTTTGTGGGGTTGCTGTATCAGATGGTTGATGACTTTTTGTTTTGAATGAAGAGGAAAATGTAGGGAAGAGTTTATTAGGAGGTGATTGTTGTGAAAAAAAAATGCCCATAAAACATTTTGAAAAGTCTGCTTGAAATTGGAGTAATCATTTACTAAGGGGGGGAATAAATTGAGTAAAAGACTAAGAATGAAATACAAATACATTAGAGGAAGACATTTCAAAGACATGTTGACAGAAGATACTACCCAGGGAACAGAAACTCCCAATAGTTAGGTCTAGAATGGAACTGGCAAGAGAAATTAATAAATGCATTTTCTTTGAATAGTGGCCTTGAACAGATGGGCCTAGGTGCCAGTGATAAGGCCTAGGGGTGCCCAGGAGATGAAAGTTAACAGCCATTCTCTGGGTATGAAGGAAAGCAAATGTCTAGATCAATGAATACAAGGATACTTAATTTGCATTTAGGAGTTTATGTTTCTTTTAATCCTTTTTCTAACTGGGGAATTAAGTTGCTAACAAGAAGAAAGGAATTCTCTCCTCTATTTTCTTAATAAAGAATTATATTAACGTGGGAAAAGAAAATGTCAGTAATTGTAAAATATACATGCTAATTTGAATGAAAGACAACTCTTTGGAAAGTTACCAGAAACTAAATGGATAGAAAGAAACAAGTTAATAGGTTGTAGTATAGAAAGATTTTTTTTTTTAATGTGGGAGAATACATATACAAGGATTGAGGACCTTTCCATGTTTGTTAATTTGAGAAATGTTTCTACTGTATATCTTGATCTCAGGTTTTGTTAAGGATATTGGTAAGGTTATTCAGCTGTGCTGTTTCTTCATGTTTTCCTTGATATAATACTAATTTTATATTGTGGCATATATATGAATTTATAATGCACATATACATTTTATATTTATTATATGTATTTTTTTCTTTGAATGGTAAATCAGAAAGGAACAACAGTTTTGTATTCCATATTTAAATAGGCTAAACTCTATATATTAATATCTACTAGAGTAAATAGTTACCTAAGTTTTGCAAAATCGAATCAAATAAATTGTCATATTGTAACCATGAAGTGAAACATAAAAGTGATTTGTTTTGACTAAGTCCAAACTATGTACAAGGCATTGTGCTATGGAGAATACAGAAGTTAAATGTGTGTCACATCATTTCTGCTCCCTAAATCTGGCATGGGGGTTGGACTTTTTTTCCTTTTTTACAATACCACATATTTTAAGGTACTATCCATGACCCCTCAGTGGAAGGTCTGCTTTGCCAATCTTTCTGTGCACTTCAGTCCATTGCATCTGGATTAGAATTTGATCATTGGCCTCATGAACTGCTGACAATGTAGTGTAGTGTTATAAACTTGTTCTCAGTGTATTTTCTCTGAGGCAGGAGGATCTGATTTACTCCGTTTTATGGGAATGGCAAGTGGTGGGGTTTTCTTTACTATGTAACTTTGGGAGGAGGGCACATTGGAGCTACTTCCTCTCCTCTCCACTGTCAACCAAACCACCTAACATCCTTGGCCCCCTTTTTTTCCCCTCCCTTCCCTCCCCTTCCCTCCCCTCTTCTTCTCTTCTCTTCTCTTCTCTTCTCTTCTCTTCTCTTCTCTTCTCTTCTCTTCTCTCTCTCTGTCTCTGTCTCTCTCTGTCTCTCTTTCTCTCTCTGTCTCTTTCTCTTCCTTGGAAGTTGGATTTCAGAGGTCCTGGTCATCAATAAGTCTTTGCCTACTTTTGGAATTAGTTCAACCTTTAAATGCAAGAGATAACAGTGTATACAATATCATAATTCCTAAATTAAATTTTGGATCCTGCATGAATTAAATGATGGGTGAACTGAACTTTGAATATACTGCATTAGATTTGTCAGTGGTAAAGGAATCCTCCCGGGATAATTCTTATCATCTCAAGCATCGCTGGTGACAAGCTATAGAAAAATTGTGTAGCAGTCAGCAGTTTCCTAAATTGAAGGGTGAGAACATGCTGGAAAATGTTTCACCTGCATTCAAGGTCAGTAGTAGGTGATTACAATTTCTAGACAGACTGGCTATGCTGGATAGAGTCATTTGATTTAGAGTGTGATGAATGGATAGATGGTTTATCAGGTGTATTTAAAAACAACTTTTTGGCTAAGTAGCCTGGGCATTATACATAACAAATTCCTTCTGACCAGTCCTCTCCTGCAAGAGAGGCATTCTGTGGAAAGAATGCCATTGTGTGTGACTGGACTGATTATACAGTTCATAAGTTAATATGTAACCGAAATGACCTAGGTCCCACAGGAGGATGAATGTACCTGACTGAGTGTTTCTAGGCATCATTAATGATGATGGTTCTGTCCTTTACCTTTTGCAGAGCCTGTATTTTGGTACTATGTGAAGGAAGTCCTGAATAAGCATGAACTACAGCGCTTCTACTCTCTGAGAAACATCAGCACTGATGTGGGAAGAGGGCGAGCTTGGCTGCGTTGTGCCCTCAACGAACACTCCTTGGAGCGCTACATCCACATGCTACTGGCTGACAAAATTAGATTGAGGTAACTGAGTGGCCAGTGGCCTGAAGCAGCCCTACAGACCCTGCATTCTCTGGGGGTGTCCTGAAGGCTTGGCTCTTGGACACAGCCCAGGGGCTTTTAGGTGGGGAGACCATTTTCTTCAGAAGTGAATGTGGCTTTTATTTCCTTGACAGTTTAATTTGAGCTATTTTGAAATGTCCTACTCTTAGAAACTAGAAGGGAAGAGACAGTTTTGTATACAGTCTCATGCCTTGCCTTTCCTTATAGATTGTATGTTTTATTAATATTCCTATTAACATTGCTAGCAATAGTAGCTGGCATTTTTCTTATGTTTTATCATTCAAAAGGACTTCATACACATTTTCTTTAATCCCTTTAACCTTCCAGTGCAGGAGGCTGTCTGACATTTTTATTCCACTTTTGCAGAGGTAGAAAGTGAGGTTCCTGAGAAGTTGAATTATCCAGGGTTATACAACAGAGTAAATTGTTAAGCCAGAGTTCAAATCCAGGCCTTTTGGTTACAAATCCACAGCTCTTTCCGTTATATATATATTTTTTATTTTAGAGGTTAAATATAAGAAAGAGTTAATAAATGGCTTGGATTTAAGATTGGTGAAGATCTATTAAGCTCCCATCTATTGCTCTCACGAGGAGGAATATACTAATCTTTCACTACCCCTTTGCGTTATCACAAATCGGCAGAGTTGTAGATCTAAATTCAATTTGATATATTGGAATAATTTCTTAAAATAATCACAATTAATTTTAAGTCAGGTTAAGGGATTTGGAATTTATTTCCTAGACAGTGAAATGTGACTGAAAGTTTTCAAGTTGATGGGGATAGGGAGGGGAGGAGTTGAATGATCAGAGCTATCCTTTAGGAAGATTAATCTGTATATATTTTATAGGAGAAATTGGAGCTAGGGAGCTAGGAAGCTCGTTAAGAGGTTGTAATACCTCTCATTGAGGGGTAACCAAGGCCCAAAGTGGATGGTAGCAGAATGGAAAGAAGGCAATGAAAGAATTTCGGAAGTAGAATCATATTATATCATCCCACAGTTTAAAAAAAAACACCAAACAACTTCATTGGCTCTGTATGGCATATCTAGAAATGTTCAAAGTTCTTGCCTGGCATTCAGGGCCCTCCAAAATCTGGTGCTACCCCATCTTTCCAGCTTCCTCTTAAGTTATTCTCTACTATGCACTCTACATTTTAGTCAAATTGGATATTCTTTATTCCCACCTTATCCTTTTTCACCTTTGTGGCTAGAATATTTTTCCTACTTAACCTGTTGAATACTGCCTGTCCTTTAAAGCTCAGCTCAGATTCTTCCTCTTCCTTGAAACTTTCCCTGAAGTCTTCTGTGACCTTGCCTTCCTCCACAGCCCAACAACAATCTTCTGTGGATCTGTCAGAACACTTTGTTTTGTATTTTTAGTACCCTTAGGTGGTGCAGTGGATAGGGTACTAGGCCTGGAGTCTGGAAGATTTACCTTCCAGAGTTCAGATCCAACCTCAGACATTAGCTGTGTGACCCTGGGAAAGTCACTTAACCCTGTTTGTATCAGTTTCCTCATCTGTAAAATGATCTGGAGAAGAAAATGGCAAATTACTCCAGTGTCTTTGCCAAGAAAACCCCAAATAGGGTAACAAAAAGTTGAACATGACTGAAATGACTGAACAACAGCAACAACAACAATATCCTTATTGTGAAATAGTGTGTAGTATCGTTATCTGTATTTGTATCTATCCTGGTACTTGACTGAAAGTTCCATGAGGGTAGAGACGTTGTCTTACCTAAGCTTTTTATGTCCCTTAGGGCTAAGTTAAATGAGCTGAACCAGTATAGCACTCATATGTCCTCCTGAGAGCTACACATGCCTCGTAGACTCTTTTAGTGGTTTTTTGGTACTCAGATTTTGCTCTGAAATATTGCATATGAATATGTATTATATTATGTATGTGTGAAATTTGCATACATACTCAGACATATATGGAGGGAGAAAAAGGGAGGGGTAGAGAGAGAGAGACAGAGAGACAGAGAGACAGAGAGAGAGAGACAGAGAGAGAGAGATGGAGATAGATAGAGAGAGGGAGAGAGAGAGCGCACCTCACATTGGTGTAGTGAAATTAGAGCTAGACTTGGAGTAAGGATGCCTATGGTTTCAGGTCTCACCTCTGACACTTACTGGCTTTGTGACTCTAGATAAATCCCTTCTCAGTGGCCCAGGCCACTCTCTATGATTATAAGACTGTAGATAATAAGTTGCAGAGGAAGTTCTTATCCGAATTGGTAGAGGGAGTTCCTTACTTGGCTGCCAACACTGATGAAATCACAGGTTGCCCTCTCTCTCTGCCCCTCTCCCTAGAACTGTTTATTAAAAGACTTAAAGAGCCTGTAGAGGTCTCTGGCAGCTTTCTCTATTTATTCCTCTTCAATTAGCAGAACCAGTAGGCACATTTGTAATTCTGCTGTGGTTTCTGGGTCTTAGTCTGTCTCAGAGGGAATTTTTGCGTGGTAGTTACCCTTATATCTGGGACTCAGTCTAAAACTCTATAAGTACTGTATTTACATATAATATCTATTTTAGTTCTTTATGGTTTGGCCTCCCAAGAGACCAGCCAGGAAGTCACAGGTTGCAGATTCTGTAATTATCCTTTGTTGAATTAATAGAACCTACCATCCATCAGATACCTCTATATGTACAATATCACTTTTAGCAAGAATTATAATACATAAGAACTTCTAAAATGAGTTTTCTAAGGTGTTCTTTTAATTCATTTAGTTGATTAATAGAATCAAATAGCCTTTTCTCAAAGTGCTTCCAAAACAGGCAGTCTACCATAGATTGTTTGGCATTTCTCTTTTGTTTGACAGCATTTTCTATGAAGACTGGGCGTTTGTGATGGATGAAGAACGGTCTAGCATGCTCCCTACCATGGCAGCTGGTAAGCCTTGGTCTTAAAGCCAGTAGTGGATAGATCCTGATTTAAAGGCTTTTCTACACTTGTAATTATTTGCATGAGAAAAGGTGGCAGTTAGCCTGAATGAAGTTGTAAAAATGAAGTTAATAGCTTCTTTTTAATTGGAAGGAATATTGAGAATATTCCCAGTTCTTCAGTGACCTAGAACACATTTGTTACTGACCTTCCTTCCTATAATGAAATACAACTCTTAGTTTGCTAAACAAGAATTCAGTAACGTAGCAAATAAATAATGTAGTAGATATAGCATGCTATCTCACTCTTTTTTTGTGGTTCAAATTAATTGTCATTTTGTCTTTTGAGAGCTCCTTTTTAAAAAACTCAGAAGTTAATGCAACTAAAATAAAGAAGAGAGATCCAAGTCCTTTAATTACTGTTTCTTTTCATAATACATTAAAAACTTTACACTTTCCACATATTATGGAGTCTAAGGCAGACCATTATATAAACTGAAAATTTTAGTGTTTGATCAGTATTTGCCTGCACACATAGGTCATATGGATGGAAATCATTTTAGCCTCAGTGTCTTCCTCTTCTTGCTTCTTATTTGCAGCTATTTTAACAGTATACTGGTGGAAGTAAGGCCTGAAGTGGGCTGGCTATAGCTGCTGAAAGCCAAGGTAGAGGGGATTCAGTTGCTTCTATGCTTAGGATATATTAATTCCACTTTAGGGGGAGATATTTAAAAAAATAACTTTTAAAGGTAAATGTATGTTCTATAATTATAATGCAGGTGGTAGCCTGGGTAGAAGTTCTTGCTTTTCTTTATTGTTATATTTAGAGATGTGTGCTTAGGAATGAATGCTACAGTTAGCAGTCCTTTTTTCTTCATCATCAGGTCTGAATTCTATACTCTTTGCGATCAATATCGACAACAAGGACCTGAATGGGCAGAGTAAGTACACTCCAACTGTCTCTGACCTCCTAAAGGAATCTACTCAAAATGTGACCTCCTTGCTGAAGGAATCCACCCAAGGTGTGAGCAGTCTTCTTCGAGAGATCACAGCATCTACTGCTGTCTCCATCCTAATCAAACCAGATCAGGAATCTGACCCTTTACCAGTTGTATCCAGGAATGTCAATGCTGGTAAGTATCTTGGTGAGGATGGGCATCAGAGACTAATATGAGGTTAGATAGAAGGATTTGAAGTAAAAATTGTCCTTCTTTGTAGTGAAAATCAAGGGCATAAATTATACTACGGTATTCTGGTAAAAAGCTGCTTTAGCCATTGGGTTTATTTTAGAATTATCATTTGGGAAATCATTGTATGTAAAAAGAATTCATGTGGAATGCATGGGCCAAGGCTCCCAATTTGTTGTAATTGTGCCATTCTCTTCTTGCTTATTTGATATTGTCTAGACTTTCTCCTAAAAGTGCTGTGATTAATATGTGTTTTACGTATACATACATGTTATTTAAAAATTATTGATACTTTATATTTTTACATCCATAATTTTCAGATATACCCATATCCCCTTCAATCTTTCCCTTCCCTGGATATTTTAATTACGCTTTGAGATTTTTTTTTCTTTGAAAATTTCATGGTCTTCCTTTAGGTTATTGGAGAGGGTGGCAATCTAGTATATCACATGATCAGGATCAGGAATTCAGGACCCTCATGTATTTAGAGTCCCTTATTCTTGGTGTTCTGTGGTTCTTAAAACTTAACTGTAGTCATATTGGAATTTCCAATTATATATGTACTTCATGACTTATGGACTAAATATGTGGTTTTTTTTGTCATGGGTTTATCTTTCTGATAGCTAAACCATTTCTGATGCTGGAAATATTTAACATTGACTTTTTTAAAAGGTAGTTTATTCCCCAGCCTTTCTGACCTGAGATTTGATGTTCAGGATTCTTTTAGCAAATAAGCCAGAACATAGAATTTTCTTTACTGGAGATTTTAAAAGAATCACGGACACACACACACCTTTCTGAATGATGTATGAAGCACAAAGCAATATGACTGATCTTTTAAATAAGCAGCCTAGAATTTATATATCCAATTGAGGTTTGCTCTGTAGTCCCTGCTCTATAGTCTGGGAGGTGCTGTACTTATTCCAAATATGTTGTTATTTCTTAAAACATTTGGGGAACAGTTCTTTAGGAATTGCCTTTAGAGACTTTGGCATATTTTGAAAAATGTCTTTAGGAGCAGTACATCTTTGCCTTTTGCCTTTTGGAATAGATCAAGCATCATTTGTAGCCAAATCTAGTGGATAAGGTGGGTGATAAAGCTGGTAAATCTGGTTTTTGGTAGAAGCAAGAGTAAGAGCATGCTATGATGATAATATAATGAACATTGATTTTTCTTACAAAGCTAGTAATCTAGCCCATAAGGTAACCTAAAAGGAGAAGTTCCCCAGATGTTTTGAGTAATGATAGTATTGTTTAGATAAGTATATAGTTTCTTAGGATGATTGTTTTGGAAGACAGTGTTCATTGGATGTATATATTCTGTTAAAGAATGCCTTATTATTTAATAACTATGCTACACGTTCATCCTTGTGGAGGTAAAAGGGTAGATTAAATAACCCTTTGAGGGACTTTTTGGTTCTGAATCATCTAGGTTTTTTAAAATTGTTTTTATATGTTTGTGTGCTTTTTTCCCAGAAGATTTAGGGAATTGTCACAAGCCATGGATAAGACATAGTAGTATTTCAGTTGTCCTGAAGACTTTTTCTTGTAATATATTTTTTCTTTTGACAGATGTAAAATGTAAAAAGGATAGGAAAAAGAAAAAGAAGGTAACTAATATAATTTCATTTGATGATGAGGAAGATGAGCAAAACTTTGGGGACATTTTTAAAAAGACAGGTGGAACAGGAGAAAGCTCAGAAGAGAATTCAGATCGATCATCAGTTAATATCATGTCCACTTTTGAAAGTCCCTTTGGACCAAATTCTAATGGAAGCCAGAGTAGCAACTCGTGGAAAATTGATTCTATGTCTTTTAATGGGGAATATGGATATCAGAAGCTGGATGTGAAGAGTATTGATGATGAAGATATTGATGAAAATGAAGATGAAGTTTATGGAAAACCAGTTGGGCAAAAAAGCATGGAAGATCACACGGAGGTTTCTGAGAAGTAAGTTTGATTTTATTTTTTTAAAGAAAGAAGTTCCATGTTGAGTAAGTACTTCAGAGTCAGTCTTCATTTGCTCTTTAAAACATTTGGTAAAGATAAGAATCTAAGCTGTTCCTTTTCTTTGAGTGCTACTCAGTTCATCTCAAGTATTTTGATTTGGAGGGCAGGAATTGTCTTTACACTTTCCTGAGAATTAAAAAGACTAAAGGAGCATATTCTGAGGTTACTGTTAAAAATTTAAGGGTGGATACTTTGACATTCTTGGGAAATGTGTCACTTTTTGTCTGCTGTCTTATTTGGGTCAGATTTCTTTAGAAGCAGATGTGATATAATGGAAAGAGAATTGACTTTGGGGTCAGGAGACTTCTGTTCATTTCCTGTTTTTGTCACTTACTAGCAGTATAATTGTGAACAAGTCATTTAATTGCTCTATGCCTCTGTTTCCTAATGAATAAAATGAGAAAAATGTCTTTCTTGCCTGTCTCACAGGGCCATTTTGATTATTAAATGATACGGTGGATGGAAAGCATTTTGTCATTAGTAAAGAACTCTAATTATTTTACTTATTTATTTGTATTTAATTTTTTATTTTTATTTATTTAGCTAATTAATATTATTTTTTATCTCTTAATTTGTTGTCACTCCTGGATAGGCAGGGGGAGGGTAGGTTTGTACCAAGGAAAGAGTGTCAACTAGTACATTTGGTATTTCTTTTCAATGTGTTTTGACATGAGGCTCTTTTGGTTTTTGTTTTTGTTTAATACCTTGTGTTTTGTACCACTAAACTGCTGCAAAATACTGAAGGCTTAGGAACCAGATGTAACTTTATTCGAGTCCTGGCGGGAGTAACCTAAACCTTTTTTTTCTTCCACATGATTAGTCTAATGCATTACATCATCACCATCACTACATAAGGATAATGTATATCATGCTTTTCACTGTGTAGACTAGAACAACATAGCCCATCATATCCCCAACACAGCAGGGCCCTGAAAGAGAGCACCTCCCTCGGCAAGAGATCGGGTTTCAATTCTTCAGGCTAGTACTTGCTAGCTGTGTGGCTCTTAACATTACTTACTGTCTCTGAGCCTTAGTTTTAACATTTGTCATATAGAGATGAAAATACCTGAACTACTTACTTACATCAAGCATGGCAGTTGGGATCAAACAAGATAATATTTGAGAAAGTGTTGTTTTTTTTTTTTTTACTATAAAGAGTTATACAAACATAAGTTACTATTATTATTATTGTTATCATGAATACCATTGTTATTTGAATGGATTATTTAATTGATATAATTGATGTCTCTTGTTAAAGAGACTCCTCACTCCTTACCAGTGGGTCTGCCCACTCTTCTTATAGTTTTCAAGAGTTATTTGGGGTCACTGAGAGTTAAGTGAATGCCTAGGTTTAAACAACTAGAAAGTACCAGATATGGAACTTGAAACTCTCTGGTTCCCAGCTGGTTTTTCTATCTGTTTATCCACATTGTCTCTCTTTTTACTATTAATAATAAAATATGAAAAGAATGGACTGAAAAAGCACATTACCACATGACTTTACATGTCACATAATAATCTTGGAATCCTAGATTTAGAGCTCGAAGGGACTCCTTTATTTTATAGATGAGGAAACAGAAGCCTGGGGAGATTTAGAGACTTGATGAAAGTTACGTGATATCAAGGGTGGGATTTGAACCTAGTCCCTCTGACTTCCAAGTCAGTGCTCTTTCTACTGCTGCATTGATGATTTCCTGTATTCCCCTTTTCCCACAATTTAAGGCTATATTTCTGTTTTATTTCAAAGTCCCTAATTTTTCCTGTAGTTCTTAATTTGACTGATTTGGGAACTAATGTTTCTATTCTATGGCCTAGAAAAATAACTTTATTTCTAGATTTGTACATAATATCATAATCAGATTTCCCCCCCTTGTCCCAGAAGTTCGTTTTTTGCTCCAGCATTATGCTAAGGAGAGAGACTGGAAGATTGAAGAGGGGGAGCCCTATGTCAAGCTGGCTGGCATTGTGACGTGTAGAAACACAAAACAAACAAGCCAGTGTGACCGTACATATCCTCAGAGGTGGCTGTGGTGCCAGTGGTCCTTCATCAGCTTGAATGAAATGTTATCTCTTTCTCCAGAGTGCCACAGGTGGACCATTTGACAAATCCTTCACAACTATCCTAGAAAAAGAGGAGGAGAAAAATGTAATAGTTCAGCAAACGTTATTTTTGGCTAGGTCCTCTGATAAGCCAACAGCCAAGTGAATGGTCCCATAATATGGACATGCTAGTCTAAATTTAGTGGTTTAGTTGCCACACTAGATGGGTGTTTGTAAAAGGATTATTAGTAGACAGACCAGATGAAGAAAACATCTTTGAATTTTAGACACCCTTTAGAGAAGTAGAAATGCTATTAAGGTTCATTTTAAAGACTTTAAAATACCTGTTTTGCTAAAGAAAAGCAAGCTGTTGGCCAATAATTCAGAATACAGGCACCGTCACCCCTTCCCAATTTATATGTAGATTACCAGGACATTGGAGAAGAATTTTTTTTTTCTTATTGCTTACTGTGCAGGCCTAGCCCATAAGTGGTAAGAGTCTACCTATAACACACTACAACAAAAGGCCCAAAGTTGGAAAATATTTCTTGACCAAGGACATTCATACTCCTTCAGGTTATTATTATTATTATTTTAATCTTTTGAGTTCAGATCCTGAGATTATGTTGACCAAAGAGAGTAATGACTACTCAGGTTATATATAAGTAATGTTCTATGTGGGGAGTTGGAGGATAGGCATGGAACAAGTCTAGTTTCTGTCATCAAAATGGAAAAATGATGCTGTCATTATTATTAGCATTTCTTAATTGCTCACTTACAAGATGTGCATTGATGAATACCACAGTGAGAAGTAAAAAAAATAAAAAACAGCCCTTGTTCTCTTGGCATTTATAATCTATTTATTCCATGTTGTTATTTTTTCCATTTGAAATTGTCACTGCATGTTACAGTGATTTGACATATCCTGACTACCTTTCTGAGAAGCTTGATAAATAGATGTGGTTATCATGCAAGCCCTCTGTGGAGTTAGGAGATCTGTTTTACATCTGCATTCTTTCACAATCCTAGGCCCCTGGATGGCAACACCTGCCTTTCACAGATGCACAGCTGGGCTCCCCTGCAGGTGCTTCATGGTGATTCTGATGTCCTTTTTCCTCTCAGTGGAGTGGGATCTTATGCCCCAGCAGGTGGGTTATTTCCTGTCTCTTTGTTATCTGTAAACGCTTTTGATTCTGAGTAGAGGCAGTCTGGTATCGCTGTGGAGAGCCAATTGGCCTTGAAGTCAGGAAGACTGCCTCTTGAACTCCCACCTCTGACTCATACAGGCTGTGTGTCCCTGGGCAAGTCTTTTGACATTTCAGTGACTACCCTGGGCAACTCTTGAAGCTGCAGCCTAGCTGCTGATTCAGACTGGTAGGGTGAGTTTTTTCTTTAGGAGTTCCCTATACCAGTAAAACCACAGGTCCAGCCCCCAAATCAGAAGTTTTGAGTCTGAGAGAGAATGTGATTTCCTAACATATGTCAGAGCCTTACAAAAGAAGGCCAGTGAACATCCTGAGGGCTAAAACTTGGTGCCATTATTGGGGTGCAGGTGGCCTTCTTTTTCCAATATGAAGCCTGTGAGTTTAGAGGATGGCAAACAGAGGTGATCCTGGGACTCCACCTGGGTGGTGGAGCTTTTAAGGTTACCTTAGCTTGAGTTAGATGTTAAGACAACTGAGTTTTTAATGTTAGCTCTGCAAGGAATTGTTGAACTTAGGCAACCTCAAATGTGTTTCATCTCCCATTACAAATAGTTCACCTGTGCCTCATAGCAAGGGGAGAAAATCAGTGAACTAATACAATAAAACTCAACCAATCAATCAACCAACAAGCATTTAGTAAGTTCAGGCCCTGGCAATACAAAGACGTTGAGTAAAACATCCCCCAGTCACAAGGAGTTTACATTCCAAGAAGAGACAAGTTTATATATAAGTCTATACAGAATAAATATAAAGAAAATGAATGGAAATAAATACAAAGTAAGTGAATGGTGATAGAGAAATAGAGAGTAGTCCAGCTTGAATAGTCTCATTATTGTTGTGCTTTCTCGTAGCTTTTCAATTCATTTGCTGTTTGTGAAGGATTTTACTTATTATCCTCTTGTTCTTTAGCTTGAGCATGGAACTATGGCACCTGCAGACCCAAGTACTCCCCCAGGGTCACTCAGGCTGTTAAAATAGAGATAAAAGCCTGGTTTCTTACTCCAACCTTATTTTGTTCTCTCTCGTTTCAAAAGGAAATCAATTGTACTTTCTGTGGACCCAGATTTAAGGAATTGTTTAAGATTCTATTGGTATTCTTAAAAATAAGAACAAAAACAAACAAAAAAACAAAACTAAGAAGGTAAATTATTGTGTATCTTTAAAGTATAACAAATCAACTAATCCTACATTTGCAATTAATTGAACTTTAAGGTTCAAATTATTAAATTAATTAGATTAAGGGGAAAAAAAACCTTCAACATAGATCTGTTTTGAATGTTGACCTACTTCTTCAGGGCTATGCAGAAATCCTTGATTTGGTGGTATGTTGCCTGGCTCTGGATTTTTCTGGTCATGGTCTCTAAGTGCTGATCACACTTGCTTTTTTAACTTTTTGAACGTTCCCTTTGTCAAGGTCACCAAGAACTGCTTAGATATGGATAATTTATTGTTTGCCTTGCTGCTAGTAGCTCAATGATTGCTCAGTCAGTCAGTCAACAAGCATTTATTAAATGTTTACTATGTTCCACGTGCTGGGTCAAGCACTTCGGGTACAAAGAAAGGCAAAACCAGTCCCTGTCCTCAGGGAACTTACATATAGCCAGATATATGCAAAATATATATGGAATAGATGGAAGATAATCTGAGAGTGGAAGCCACCAGCAGCTGTGAAAGGCCTCCTGCAGAAGGTGGGATTTGAAATGAATCCTGAAGGGAGTTAGGGAAATTAAGAGTCAGAGGGTAGGAAGGTGAGCGTTTGCAGGCATCAGGGCCAGTCAGTGAAAAAGCATGGATACAAGAGATGGTGTGTTGTATAGGAGAAGCATCAAGTTAGGCTAGTGTAGCTGGATCACAGAGTATGTGAAGGAGAATGAAGTGTTAAGGAGCCTGGAAAAGTAAGAAGGGGCCAAGTTGTGAAGGACTTTACATGCCAGAGGATTTTGTATTTGATCTTGGAGGTAATATAGGTAGGGTGATATGGTCAGACCTACGGTTTAGGAAAACTACTTTGGCAGCGCGGTGGAGTATGGATTGAAATCAGGTGAGGTTTGAGACAGGGAGACCAAGTAAGAAGCTACTTCAGGAAGGTCAGATGAGAGCTGATGGGGCTGGAACTTGTGTTGGTGGCTTTGTTCCTTATGAAGACTCTTCCATCTTTGTGGAGGTTAGATCAGAGAGGAGACAGTCTTTTGAGCAGAGCAGACAATTAGGTGTCTAATAGAGTAGTCAAGATTCATGATGACCTGCTAGATTGGCGACTATGTCAGAGGGAAGGGGATGGATGAAGGAGATGTTATAAAAGTAGAAAGAATCTATAAGTCCTGACAAATGATTAGATATAAGTGGTAAGGGAGAGGGAAGAGGCAAGGGTAACTCAGAGATGGAAGATGATAGTACCCTCAAGGAAAGGGGAAGTTTGGAGGAAGGGCAGGTTTAAAGGGGGAAGATAATTAATTTTTTGGACATGTTGAATTTGAGATTTCTTCATGACGACTTAATGGAGATATGCAGCAAGTAGTTGATGATGTGTGACTATGGGTCAGGAGGCTCGTTAGGACTAGCTATGTAGATTTTTCTAGTCATCTGTGAAGAGGTTATGAGATCTCCAAGAAAGCAAGTTTAGAGAGAGAGGATAAGAAGACCCAGGGCAGAGCCTTGAGAAAAGCTTTGGGGGATGAGAGTGGGGGTATGGAGAGGAGAAGAGAAATAAATGGGGATTCAACAAAGACTGAGAAGGAACATTTAGATAGGTAGAGGCAGAATCAGGAGAGCCATGTTTTAGAAGCCAAGGCAGTTGAGAGTGCCAGGAATAAGTGGTGGTTAACAGTATTAAAAGATGTAGAAAGATCAAGGAGGATGATGACTGAGAAAAGGTTATTGAATTCAGCAGTTAAGATATTGTTGGTAACTTTGGAAGGAGCAATTTCAGTCAGCTAGTGGAGTTGGAAGCCAAATAGATTAAGAAATGAGGTAAGGGAGGCTGGTTGTATATATAGATGTTTCTTTATGGAGTTTTGACAGTGAAAATTTTAAGAGAGAGTGGTAGGACAGTACTTCGAGGGGATGGCAGGGGCCAGTGAGAATTTTTAAAGTATAAGTACACCTGATCATGGCTGTAGGTTTTAAGGAAATTGACAGAGAGACAAGAGATAGAAGACACATATAAAGAGTAAGAGAGAAATAATGAATGGAACAAATAATGAGATTGTCTTCATACTCCTTAACAGCTACCTTTATTTTCCAGTTGTTTTTTCATTGAACTATTATTTAGATATTTTGGATACCACTGTGAGATCTATTAGTTGTAGTACCAGTGAAAGTTGTGGCATATGGTCTATGCAATAAACATGCAGAGGCTGATTTATTCAAAGGTAATTTTTCTTGGAATGATACCTTAGCAGCCGCAAATCTATTTATGAAAATCACTCATGTTCTTTCACTGCTGTATCTAGAATTTATTTATGGCAGCAATTTCTGTGAATGCCTCCTAAAAATGCAAATGAATTTGGGGTCACTTTCTTTAAGACAAAGATGAACGAACAAACAAAAAAAAAACCCCAAAGCCTTTGTTGCTTTAATGGAACTTTATGTATAGACCAGGTACTGTTAAATGAGTTAGACTGTACTGCCCTCTGGTGTTGATTTTACATTCTTGCAAATGGGAACCTAGTTCCAGTGTGGTGTGGCTTGATATCAGCAGGCCATATTTGCTGGTTGCTGAAGGTTGGGTGGATTACAATCTATGATGACTACACAGTCCTCACAGTTGACCCTAAATGACTTCTTACTCCTAATGAGGATACAGGTAGTCTCTAGGTGGGAACGATTCACATTTCAGGGTTAGAGATGAGTTTTGCCACTTCCTTTAATGGACAAGATCAAATCTAAGATTATGGATTTTTTTTCTAACCTGGACCTGTGAAATCACTGATCTAGGGAAGTTCCAGTGAGGGAACTCCCGCCAATGTAGATTTCCAACTGTAGTGTAATTTATAGTTTTAGAGAATTGTCTAGGGCACCAAGAGTTTAAATGACCTGCTTAGGGTCACACAGTCCATGTGTGTCAGAGGTGTAACTTGATTCAGGTCTTCCTCCCCGAGGCGAGCTTATTTTTCATCATGTCAGGATGCTTTATGGCTATAAAAATGAAAATGGGCAGCAAATAAAATGCAGTGTGTAAATGAAGCAAGAAATAAAGCTGTTTCAGTAAATGAGCAGATGATTATTTTGCTTCCATGCACTGTTTGAGTTTTCTCATCCTGATTGATTTATATTCTACAGATGCCAACTTAAATAACCTGGAGAATGGCAGTGGACCCCAGAGCAGCATTCTTACTGGGCCTGAACTTCAATACAGGTTCATATAAAAATTACCTTTCTTTGGGATTAAAATCTTAATATAGTCATTTGAAGGTGTTTTACTTTTTCTGAGATTAAAGACTATTTATTCATTTGTCCTCTCTAAGGAAGTGAAAGGATGTCTGGATTTCTTTTCTTCCCATTCTTTCCCTCTTACTCTTTCCCCTTCTCTCCCTTGATCACTCTCATTATAGTTATTAAATTATCTTCATTCAAAGAATATATAAACCTTTTTTTTTTCTGTTGGGAGTCCTTGTGAAGAATCATACTATTCACATAGATATCATTGTGGACAGGTTCAGCAAAATAATGGATAAACTTAGAACAGAAGGGAGTTCTTGAGACCTGTGTATGACTTATTATAGAATGGCATAGATTTGGCTATTAATCAGCTGTGGCATCTCTTAAGTAAATGGTATGTTGACAACATATTTGAATGGTGAAATACAGAACTGGATGTTGGGAAATAAATATTGGTTCTAATTCCTGACTTCTAATTGATAGATTTTTTTGACCCTAAGCAAGTTATCTAAGTGCTTTGGTTCATAGTTTCTCCATCAGTACAATCTTTTTGAGGATTTTCCCCGTAGAGATGTAACAATAACAACAATAATAATAGCTAACATTTATACAATATAGTGATTACAAAATGATTTAAGTACGTTATCTCATTTGAATCTTAAAAACCTTGTGTGGTATGTAGTGCAAATAATATCATCACCATTCTACAGATTTGGAAACAGAAACTTAGCAAGGTTAGGTGATTTGCCCAAAGTCATACAGCTAATAAATAACAGAGCCAAGGTCTCAAATCCAGATAATCTGACTTAAAAGTCTGGCAGATCTTTCTACTACTTGAGCATAGCCAAAGTAATATGGGTGAAAAGGCATTTCATTCCAAAGTGTTATTATTGTCTTCATTGATTCTTAATTCCAAAGATTTTTATCATTTTTAGAACCAAGAGACCTGTTTGCATTTTACTGGCTAATGCCATGTTAGCTAGGAGGGGTATCATTAAATATTTTTTTATGTCTGAATCTTCTTCCTCAACTAATATGTGACAGTTGATATTTGAATAGACTTCTATCTTTTTAATAGTCTTTGAGGTCCAGGTTTTATAATGAATTCTACAATATTAGAATTTAACGTTGCTCTCTCTTCTAAAAAAATTCAGTGTGGAAGCCAGTCCTCCAGTCCAAGGGAGCCCTTTAGACAGCCTCTTGCCTTCCACACCTGTGCCAGAATCAATGACCATTAGTAAGTATTTTCTGAATTATTTATACTGGAAGTGGATAGCCTGTCAGTCCCTACCAAATTGCCTTGTTTTTGTACTTTTTCTGAGTTTTCTTAGTACTTAGTATGAAGTACATTCAGTTAGTCAACAATCATTTATTAAATGCTTATCCTGTACTTATTGCTGGGGTATAAAAGCAAGAATGAAACTGTCACAGCTCTCAAGGAGCTTACCTACATTCTAACATGGGATACAACATGTACATAAGTATATCCATAGTATATATAAAATGAATATACAAGGTGGTTTGAGGGAGGGCGGCAGGATTGGATCAGGAAAGAAAGGCTTCCTGTAGAAAGTAGCACTTGAATGTAGGTGTCATCTTGTGGTCTTCTTATCTTTATGCCTGTTTTAGTGGGCCTGATGGTCTGGGTTCCTGTGGAATGCTTGGGTTATCCTGGCAGGGGCAGCACCAGGAAACTCATCCCCAGCAGGGCTGCCTGTGCCCTGATGTCAGGAGCAAGAGCCGTTGGTGGCCTGAGCCAGGCAACTGGGGGTCTGACACACGTTTCAGAGTAGGATTGGAATCTTTTGATTAATCATGGGTTTTGGATTTATTTTCTTTGAGATAATTATAGAAATGTTATTTCAGTTAATTTGCCACAGATTGCTTTGCCATTTTAAGTGTCATTTAGTAAATAAATACAGAGCTCAAACATTAGACAAGGATTGTAAAGGTAGGTGGTAGAATGAGACTCAGATCCTCGTGCAATACCCTCACACCCTTATCTTACATACACCAAGTAACAATGTAAACGTTTTCCTCTTCCACTCTGCACTGTTTCAGTGCATAGTTACAGCCTTCTTGGCTTTGAAAATAATGATGACCCTGGTTTATGCATTTTGTTTAAGGATGACTCCCTGACAGTTTGATGCTACTGGGGTCAGACTTGGAGGCTTTTTCTATTTTCTTTTACAATTTCCAAGAGATAGAAATTTATTTTTAGTTGATGTCTTTGACAAGTAAGAACATACCTAGATTTTTAGGCTCCAGTGTCTAAAGAAAAATGTCAGTCCATCCTCAGCCTCACTTTAAACTTGCATGCTGTTCCATTTGACAAGGAAGATTTATAAGCTACTTGGTCTTAAAGGATACCTTTAGGCACGGTGGCTATCTGTCCCTCTCACATATTTCAGAATAGAATGTATTTGCTAAGAGATTCAGATTCTTAGAAATTTTGAGTGCAGACTAGTTTTGGCTTAATTTCCCACACCTCCTTCCTGTGTCACATGAGATAAAAATAAGAGCAGACCTATTTGGGTGTCAGATGTGTCCTGAGAATGATCCAAATTCAGATTTGAATCTCATCCCAGTATGTAAAGCACATGGAATTTCAGTTTAAACAAAAACTCACTTACAGTAACCGCAGAACCGTCCAACAGAGAGGAGCCTGATCTATTCTGATAAATTTTTTCAGCCCTTCTCAAGAGTGCTAAATGTTTAGATAGATCCATACAAGGTTACTTCTCTGTATTCTTTTAATCCATGCTTCCTGACACTCTAATTCTGAGGTTTGGTTTCTTCATGCACAGAACTTGCATTGTAATTGACAAGGCCAGTTTGCTGGTTCCTTTCCCTCCCCTCTTAGAAGCCCCTTCTCTGTTGCTTTTAATTGTAATAGCTAAGAGTTGGTACTTGTATGGTGCTTTAAGGTTTGCACAGTGCTTTGCAGATATCTCATTTTATTCTCATAATAACCCTAGGAGGTAGGTATAAGCCTACTTAACCTGTCTTCTTGAGTTGCCATATTTTCCAGAAACACTGGACCTGGGGTATGCAGGAGGTCCTGAATGGGTGAAGGATTAAGTTCCCCCTGAGCTGACCTAATTTGTTATTTGCACCTTTAGCTAGACTCTCAGGGTGTCCTTGAGGGGGAATCAACTATAAGACAGTCACCAGTCAGTCTGCACCAGACTGATAAACTGTTTGTGCGTCTGGGACCCTTGTAGAAAAGCAGACCATCATATCTTCATAGTCTAGCAGTTCCCAAGGGTAAAGAATGTTGCTTTTGCCATCTTACTTACTCCTGTTTCCCACCTCCCCACCCCCTTTCTGCTCTCTTCTTCCTCCCATGCCACTCCCCCTTGGGAGGAGATTGTCTTCCATTCCTTCTGTGAAACTTCCCCTGTTTTGTAGCTCATAAATATTCAAGCTTCTGTCTGGATTGTGAACTCCTTCATATTAGGTATAGGAGTTCCACATGCGTGTACATTTCTCTTGTAATAAATAGTGTCAACACATGTCTCATGGACTTGTGATTTTTTTTTTGTTAACAATTGCTATTATTATTCCCATTATACAGATGATGAAACTCAGACAAACAAAGGTTAAATGACTTGTCCAGGGTTAGTAAGTGTCTGAGGCTAGATTTGAGCTCAGGTTTTCCTTGCTCCAGGCCCAGCACTCTATTCACTGCAACTCCTATTTGCCTCTATGAAGTCACTTTCTTCCTTGGGGACTTTTTTTGTACAGTCCTTGTTTCTATTCCATTAAAGATTACCCATTTCTCTTTCTACCAGTTCTGCCTTGTGCTGTGTACCCTTTTATAGAAGCGGCTAGGTGGCACAGTGGATAGAACATTGGGACTAGAATCAGGAAAACCTGAGTTCAAATCCAGCCTCAGATACTTGTCAACTGTGTGATCCTGGACGAGTCACTGAGAACTGTCTGCCTCAGTTTCCTTCACAATGAAATGTAGATAATAATAGCATCTACCTCCCAGGGTTGTTGTGAGGATCAAATGGGATAATATTTGTAAAGCACTTAGTGTGTGCCTGAAACATAGTAGATGTTTAATAAATGCTGGTTTCTTCCTTTTATACTCTTTTACTGCTCATTAGAAAACCTTGCCTTTTGTGTCAGGAGGGATGAAAATAGAGATGAATCTTAGACATCTTTGCCATTCACTAGGGACTTTTAGGTGAAGGTAGTATAGGGGAGGAAGATGAAAGGAACAGCTAATGTGAATGTTAGTATTATTTGTTTATTTCACTTGCTTTTTTCTCTCCTCCTTTCTATTATCATGGTCTTTGAGATTTGGCTAAAATAATATCCTCTCCTCTGTATCACCTCCTGTTATTCCATCTGAAGTTTGAAGGTTGTCTGAAATTGTTCTTTTTCAGTTAGACACAGTCCTTTTGTCTTTGATCACCCTTATGTTCAGTGACAGACACCTGCCAATGCTGTTGTCTTACAAGTATTTCCATTAGAAGTTTTGAAGACTGGTACATGGTAGACTCTTTTTCTGTCAAATGAAACCAGACTTCTAGAAGTCTCAATAAAGACAAACTGATTTTTTTGGGGAAATGAGAATTTCCCCTTTTCCCTTCTCCTGTCCTTTCTGATCAGCCTGTGTTTGTTTTTTCTTTTTGAATACGTATTTTGTATTAAAAAGCACTCAAATATGTATTGAATTGATCAGTGTATAAAAATCTAAAAAAAACAACCCAGACCCCTCCACTTATCTAAAGAAACATGGCTCACTAAAAACCAGCAATAAAAAGCAACATTTTGTTTGATATTTAGATCTCATGGACTTCTGTATTTTCTCATTTCAAGTAGTTTTTTAGTTGATTTTCTAGGATTCCCTAAGTATCTCATCATATCATCTGCAAAGAGTGATAGCTTTGTTTCTTCTTTGCCTATTCTAATACCTTCAATTTCTTTTTCTTCTCTTATTTTAAAGCTAATGTTTCTAGTACCATATTGAACAACAGTGGTGATAATGGACATCCTTGTTTCACCCCTGATTTTATTGGAAATACTTCTAGCTTATCCTCATTACATATGATGCTTGCTGAAGGTTTTAGGTAGATGCTGCTTATTATTTTAAGGAAGATCTGTATTTTTTTTTTAGGCAATTGGGGTTAAGTGACTTGCCCAGGGTCACACAGCTAGTAAGTGTCAAGTATTTGGTCTGAGGCCGAATTTGAACTCAGGTCCTCCTGACTTCAGGGCCAGTGCTGTATCTACCGCGCCACCTAGCTGCCTCAGATCTGTATTTTCTTAAAAGACAAAATTGCATAAACATACAGATATAAAATGTGCATAAACATTAGGACAAGCATTTTGGTTATTCTAGAGATACAATAAAAATGCTTTCATAATGCAGGTTCTCCTTTAGTTATTGACACTCTACCTGCAAACATTCCATTCATATGGGTGGTCAGTTGTCCCCTACTTTCCCTTCTCCCAGTTACTCTAAAACCACTCTCATCTTAGTGTCTGGCAATGGAAGCTGTCTAATCCTATGTGTCCTTTTGACTTATCTCCTTTTTTCACCCTCAGTGGGATCACACACATGCCCTATTTCTCCTTTGCGTTTGCTTATCGTTGCCCACGGTCAATTATTTCCATTTCGGCAATCTGTCTCACACAGATACATGTGTCTTCTTTAACAAAAAGAAAAAAAAATCTTTTTTTTCCTGATAACTTTTGTTTTTCTATTATTCTCATTTTCAAATATACCTTTCCCTCCTCCCTTACTCAGAAAGCTCCTCCTTGTAACAAAGATCAAAAAGAAAGAGGAAAAAATATTTTCAGCAATTCAAAAATCCAACTGTGTTTCTAATAGTGTGTGCAGCATTCTATAACCTTAGTTTCCCACTTCTGTAAAGAGGAGACAGTGGTCTGTTTGTTCAACTCTTCCCTGGAGGCCAAGCTTGGTCAATATAATAATGCATGTGTCCTTTTAAATACTTCCCCTTCTTTCCCTTTCTCTTCTAAACAGTTTCTTTTAACCTCAGGTATGTCCCTTCCTGTCTTTCCCCACATTTTAACTCTCCCTTTTTTATTTTATTTTTTTATATTAATGAATTTATTTATTTTTAGTTTTCAACATTTATTTCCACAAGATTTTGAGTTCCAAATTTTTACCCCATCTCACCCCTCCCCCACCCCAAGATGGTGTACATTCTGAATTCCCCTTCTCCTAGTCTGCTTTCCCTGTTATTTCTCGCCCCC